ATATATACATATTATATATATATAATATGTGTGTGTGCTATCTATATATCTATATATACACGTGGTTACACAACATGTTTATATGTATAATATGTTTGGACTGGAGTGGGAATGTAATGTATCGCAATGTAATGTTTATCTACCTGGGGTCCAACCGGGGCTGTTTGGCTTTGGGATCATCTTACCAAGAGTCCTCAACCCATAGCCTGCTAAAGTAACTGCTTAACCCGACATCCTAAGCACGCAACCGCCACAGCCGATCTAGCATTCTGAGAAGCTGGATCCTAAGCTTTGAACAACTTGCCCCAAGCCTTGCGAAGCCAACAATGCCACTGCAACTCCAAACTCCAACGCCTTACTAGACCCGAGAGCTTGCAATTAATATACCTCCAACCCAGGGACCTTACTGAACCTGCAAAGCCCCGGCGCCAATTACGATACTTACAACTTACAACCCCAAAGACCCTTCTGTAGCCTTTGTTACGCGCTGACGAAACCCTCTTTAATCCGAAGCCTTGGACGAGCGCTTGCGAGGACTGGAGCACATGGAGATTGCGAACCTGCAGCTCCAGCTTCTCAAAGCTTTGGAGGCGGGGGAGCGTGGCGCGGGGTGGGGAGGGGGTTTCAGGGTGCATGTCATTGGCAAGATTGTCGGTCTTTTCGGGCTTTAGGGTTTCCGGGATTGGATTTATTTGGGGTGTTACGGGGTTTTAAAGAGGTCTTTTTGGCTTTGAATTGAGATTGACTCCTCGCCACCCGAGTCGAGGGTTTTTCCAAAATAGCGCACTAAGAGAGCTTTACAATTCACAGTAGTTTGGGTTCATGTTGGGGTCTTTCTTCTATCTGGAGCTCAAAGTGTATGCCACGCTGCGTGTTCCAATCATACTATACTACGACAATATACTCAAAGTGTAGTGGTTCCGGTTATTCAACATCAAGGCAAACCCTTGCAAGATGTTTCTCGCAGGTGGCTCCTGTCACTCTGCCGAAGGCAGGGCCGGGATAAGGGATTGAGCACCTTATGCCTTCGAGCAAGAAGGTATGCCATGAGTCTTCGCCAAGTTTCACAGGGGCGTAAAGTGGCAACAAGAAGAGCTGTGGCGGTCATGCACCACGAAATTTGAAGTTTTGAGATGGGAGGTGGTGGGCGCCCTTCAACCTCAGAAAGCAACTCAACCTCAGAAGTGCGGCTTTTGCAACTTGGACGCAGCCTACACAGATGGAACCCACGGCTGTGGGCTCATTTTGAAGGTGCTGGGATACACTTTGCTTCTAGTTGCTGCGTTCAGGTTGGCGACAGGCTCTTACGAGTGGCGTGGGGTAGGGAGATCGCTAGGACCAGACTTGGGGAGGCTCTAGAGGGTATTGGCATTGGGCTTGTGATCTAAGGGTCGGAGGAGTTCGGCTTGCACCCGGACAGCGTGGAGTGGCTCTCCTCCACGAAGATGATGATCCGCAACGTCCCTGCACGCTGCACTGAGCTGGAGCTTCGAGTCTATCTCAGCACCCAAACGACCGACGACTTTGTCCTTGAGATGCCCAAGACAAGCCCAGCAAAGTGCAAGGGCTACGCGTTCGTGCAGATGGCCGACTCAGTCGCCCTTGCTGACTTGGCAAAAGCCTTGTGGCAGCAGACTGTTCCCACCAGGAAGAGTGCTCGCCTATTCAAGATCCACCCAGCAGAGTCTGCAGAGAAGCTTCCTCTGAGCCTGGAGCCCTTCAGCTTGTTCGTCTAGTTGACGTGTCGGAGGCCCCGTTGGAATTCCATTGAACGTTGTTTGTTAAATAGTCCTTTTTGGAGTTGTGAACTACACCAGTGCGAATCTTCCTGAAGGCTCTGACACGCTTCGGCCTGCACAGGCAGGCGCTTTTGCATTCAAGGTGTTGTCAATCAAACACATCTGAGCCGTGTGGTTTAGTGCTGCGTGGTCAGCCCCTCGGCATGGACTGCAGGTGTGTATGTGTGGCTCGTGCAGCATGATGTCACTTTATAGGTGCATCCAAGGCTTCCAGATCTTTAAAACATACCCGCCTGCATCACTGCCTCTGCGGATGCTACCTACTAGCATGTGCAGGATACATACATTTCGGCAAGTTGCTTTGGCGTTGTGATGGGTGGCTTCCACGCCCTCATGACACCAAGTGAATGCTTGTCGCTCGATTGGCGCTGCTAAGTGGCCCCAAGCGCGAAAGACTTCATGGCACACGTGGAGGCCATTGAAGATCTGTCGCCGCTTGTATGCAGGTTTTCTACTAATTCATGGCCCGTGCAGCATGCAGCTTGACAGCTGCTAAGACCATCCAAACCCGAAGACGTACGGTGGAATGCAAAAGGATGCCCAAAACATTGAGTTTCTTGCCATGACTCCATGCTTCAACAGCTGGTTGAACAGGTCGTAGGTACAGTTAGTTCACTTTAAGTACGGACTCGACCCACTGCCTTGGCCCCAACGCTCCACATTCTGAAAACAAGGCAAGCTTTCTTACGTCATTCTAAGCCCTAAACCCCACCCATGAGCCGGTTTGTGAAGAGCTCCCCGCTGCCCCAAACGCCAAAATTCAAACCCGAAGCCTTAACACCGAAGTTGCTTCGCCAGACTCGAGACCTAGACGAGAGATCATTTCAGGGCGGCCCTGCATTGCAATTGGCCGGTTTTTATACCTTATCCTTCTATGGCGCTGCATTTTGCCAGTCTTTTGATGAAGATATCAGGGCGACAAGCTAAATGCTCTGTCTGGGGCTTCTTGGCAGGAAGAGCTAGCCTTTGCTGTGCCTACGCTTCAATCATTTGATGGGTTAAGGTTCAGGAAAACTGCTACCGAAACCCTAAGCCCGCCACCATGAAGCTGACACCGAGGACCTTCGACCTCCTAGGAGAAGGCTACGGCCAACGAAGAAGGAAGTGAACCACAGGATCTGTAGAGGATCCAGCCGAGGAATGTGCTTTACAGTTAGGGCTGTGTTTGGGTATTCCCAGGTAGGCCTTTGGGATAGTTTATATTTTCCCTTATTGGGCTCAAGAGGACCCTATTTACTAATATTTTTCAGAGGCTTTAAAGGGCCAACAAGATTCCTTTTGCTTACACCGATGCAGGAGCAGCCTTTGCGATTGGTGAGGCAAGTAAAGCTTCCCCGCTGTCATCCCAAACGAACGGATCCGTCACAAGAGTAGTTCCAGCATGAAGGTCGGAACTGCAGACGTCACTTAGTGTTGTTTCTGAGATGTTTGAAAAGATTCGACATCCTAGCTCTGTGAATTGACACCATGCATGACTGCGTTTGTTTGCCGACGCAGTTTGCAGCCTGTGAAGTTTGGTGGGTTGTCGCTGTTTTGCGGCACTGTCCTTGTTTCATTCCGCGCCTTGGCTTTCATTCGACCAGGGTTTAATATGTTTTACGGAGTCAAGGGCATGTTGCCGAAGAACCTGAGGGTGGCTGGCCTAGCAGCAGCTGCACAATCGAAATGATGATCACTACAAAAGCACGGGCATGAGCAGTCTCAATCCTCATCATTCTATGTGAGTACAGCACCACCACCCCATCACCAGCGCTGACAACTGGACTTTCAAGATCATTGCCAGTGGTCAAAGCAATCCTGCTGTTTTTCGCCATCATGACTGCTGTATCACAAACCAGCAGCAGAGGCAGCATCACAGAGTTTTGTCGATAGCATGAACGAGACGGATTCTAGTAAGCCGCGTCGCTACCAAGTAGGGTAGTGACGGCATACACAATGGCAGACCCCTTCAGTCAACACAGTAGTCTCTGCATAGGCAGAGACTGAGTCATCCCAGAAGTCATCGCAGTAGTCATAGTAGTAGTGGCAGGAACCTGCGGCAGAATGCAACAGAGAGTTGCAACAAAACCATCGTCTTGAAAAGTGTTAAGGGCATGAATTTCAACAGTCCAACTTTCATATCAAACCAAGCCCTCATAGCTACACCCCAGTCGAAAAGCTGCACAGTGAGGATCCTTGTAAGTGCAAATCATGGCCGTGGGAATGAGCATTACTGCTGCTTGGTCGCGAGTTGTTTTCTGGCAGGTTGTTTCTTGGGCTGATCTTAGGAAGAAGGGACTAAGGGGTTGCGTCCTGGTCAACGGTTAGGGCTCGACGCTTGGGCTTAAGGTGCTTCAACTTCAAGTAGTTCACACAAAGCATGAATTTGCGTATCGGGCACACCAGGGTCAGCATGTCTTGTAGGTTGCAAGCCGTGAAGCTGAGAGGTTCATCGCCTAAATCGGCGCCGTTCTGATCATGGACTTTTCAGGTCCTTACCACAAGCCGTGTGACGGTGATGTAGATGCTGAAACCCTGCGTAAATCCTTCTGGTGACTGATCGAGCAGTCACGAAACAGGAGCTAAAACAAACTAAGCCCCAAACCCTGATCGTAAGAGTCGTCGTCGGTCGAACGGCCTGGGCATAGGACTCTGGGTCTCTGATGTGTCTAAGCCCGAAGGCTGTGCCCTGACAGCTGCGTTTGATTTAACATTCAAGTTGGCTTGAAGGGTTAGGGTGTAAGATTCAGGGGTTGGGATGCTTTGTGGATGCAAGGGGTCTAGGCATTTTATTGATCATTGTCGGTTGTGTTCTCCTGCGCTGGTGAAGCTTTCACTACTGCTCTTGTTTGTTACTGCTGTTGCTCGCACCAGCAGCGTCACCATGAGTAGTGCCACTTCGGCGGCAGGCGTCGCCGTCGTCAACGACGACGCTTCTACTCCTACTACTCCTCTTTCTACACCTCCTGCTTTTGCTGTTATCACTGCTGCTGCTGCTGCTACTATTACTGCTACTACTACTACTACTACTGCTACTACTACTACTACTACTGCTACTACTACTACTACTACCATTACTGCTACTACTACTGCTACTACTGGTACTACCACCACCGGCACCACCACCACCACCAACCTAAACTCCTAGACCTCAAGACCCTTAAACCCTGAACCCCAAGCCTAAACCCTAAACCCTGAATCTTCAGCCTAAACCCTAGCTCGAGGATTCGCAGTTCCTGATGCTTCCATGCTGGTCGCACCTGGGAGCTGTTCGCCCGCCTCCAGGCCGTCTGTCGTGTGATTCAGGGACTAAGCGATGCAGGGGTGTTCGGAATTAGAAGAGGGCTTTGAGGTACATTATAGTACACTTATTGGAACCTTAAGCACGAAAAATATGCATGCATTTGTCGACCGCTTTATTTGGCCCTCTGGGTTCAGCCTGGTGCGTCCGCGGCTGGACGGAGGTAGGGGAAGTGGTTTGTGTGAAGAGGCTTTAGGGTTTTAGGGTTTCGGAGAGTCGAAGCATTGGAACCTCACACGCAAAACCGAGCAAGTGAGTGGCATCCAGCAACGTCGGCCCCTTCGGCTGGATTTTTGTTCTTCTTTCTGAGATTCAGATGACGAGGCCCTCATTTCAGCGCTTCCGCTCGGGGGAGGATCGGGTTCTTACCGCTCAGGACCATACGAGGCCATCAACGCCACCAAATGTCGAGCCCCAACTCCGTAAAAGACCCAAGGCATTAGTGCACCATAGTGCACCCCAGTTCCCAAAACCATCCCTAAACCCTAAACCCTAAAGTCCCTAAACCCTACCAAACCGTCCAACAGGGTACCCATAATCCCAAAAGCCGCTCCGGTGGCCTGGACACCAAAACCCTAAGCCCTAAGACCCTAAACCCCTTGGCCCTAGTAAATTACTGTACAGAATAGCTGAATAGTTAGTATATTGTAGTATATTATAGTATAAGTAAATATAGTACAAGATATGATTTTATACAATAAAGAAAACCCTTAAACGCCCCCATAGCTACATTCTTCAGGACTGGAGCACATGGAGACCGCGAGCCTGCAACTCCAGCTTCTCAAAGCTTTGGAGGCGGGGGAGCGGAGTGTGGAAGATTTAACGGTTTAGGGTTTCAGGCAGGCCTCTGGGTTTTTCGGGATTGGGATTCGGTGTTGTGTTTGTTGTCTAGCGTTTACGAGTTCTTTTGGGGGGTTTTGCTTTGAGACTGGCTCCTCGCATGTTGACAAGACCAACCAACCATCCGAGTCGAGGCTTCGTAAAGACAGGGGTCTTTATAGAGAGTGCAATTTTCGGCGTGGTCTTTGTTGGGGTGTACTTTCGATTTGGAGCTTCAGGTGTACGCCACCCAATCTGACTCAAAGTGGTGTTGGGCTTCTGGTGATTCAACAGAACATGTGGGTAAGTCTCTGGGCTTACAGCATGTCGCAATCCTGACCCTTTTGCCCAATGATGGAAAGAGACGATGGGACGGAGGCAGAAAGACAGACGGGCAGGAGCGGATGCATGCAAACACGCACTGTAGACAAGCATACGTAGCCAAGCACACGGACACACATGTGTACACGTCAGCGTTCTGGTCCTGTGCAGCGAAACTTGAAATTTTGAGTTGGGAGGTGAGTGCCCATCAGCCTCAGAAAGTCACTGAGAAGTGCGGCTTTTGCAGTTTGGACGCAGCCTAGACGGCTTTGGGCTCATTTTGAAGGTGCTTGGATACACTTTACTTCAATTTGCTGCCTTCAGGTTGGCGACGGGCTCTTACGAGTGGCGTGGGGTAGGGAGATCGCTAGGACCAGACTGGGGGAGGCTCTAGAGGGTATTGGGCT